TTCAATAGAACAAATGTTGTAATACCCAAAAGTACAGACAGCATCCACTGCTTTACTCACACATGAGAGTAAAGAGGGACTCAAAATCAAAACAAACTGATAGTTCTCAATGTTGCAGTGTTCAAATATTATGTATATTAACTACAATGTGTGTGTGTATGATGCATATACTGTACAGTATATACATATACACAGTGTGTACTGTATAACACACATGTACTATTAGTTATTGAAGATTTGTTTAGTAAATGCTTTAACTGATATTCACTCACATTTTAGTACAATTTTAGCGTCATGTGTGTTTTTCTCTTCTTTTATTCACATCATTATTTTAAGTGCTTTAATAACTCTGGTTTCATGACGGGTCTATCTTGAAAAAACGATATGTAAACTGTCTCAATCAGATCTAACGAGCTAAATAAAGGTTTAAATAAAATAACCAGCAGCCTCCTGACAACAAACAGTCCAGGCTCATCACGGGACCAGAACCAGAACTTTGTTGCTGTGAGTGTTATGTAGCATAGCATTCTAAGCTAACCACAGTAGTAGAGACGCTAAATCATGAAAAAATACAAACAAAAAAAAAAAAAAACAGTTCCAACACACACACAGTTATACTCTGACATTACTTTGTCTCACAAAATAATTTATATAGCATTTTTTGTCTACCGGACAAAAAGTGATCGGAGCACGACGTCTTCGAGGGCAGATCCTTAACCAGACTCATCGATGTTCTGCGGTGAGCTCCTCCATGGAGGTCCTTCACATTTCATTATTTTTGGGATTAAGTGAAAACTGCGCTTTGCCCAAATGTCTCCCCGGTTGTAGCAACCTCTAACCCAGCACGAAACAACCATTGCAATTTACTTAAAGGAAAAAATAAAAAACTCGAGAAAATTAACTTACAGTAAACTACACTGTATCTGCTAGATGCAGCCTTACAACATGGAGGACGTACCGGAAATGCCCCTGATGTTACGTCACATGGGAACTGTGAGTAGTAACCAGCCATCAGTGTGCTAATGATCCATTGTTAGGCTGATGGTCCTTCTTGACCATGTGATCAGCTGGTTTTGGTTGTCAGCAGCAAAACTGGTTGATCCACTCTGAGAAGGTGCTATTTAAGAGACTGAGCTGAATACAGCACCTCAGACTGAGGAAGTCTCTTGGATGAAAGATGAAACGTTTCTACAATTTTTATTTTGTTTGTTTGCATGCATCAGGATATTAAGGAAGGAAGATATTTTGAAACATTTTGTGACAGGTAGTCAGGTAAATTAGAAAACTGATAAAGCTCAGTCTTTCACAGAGCTGTACATGGACAGATTTTGTCTACCTAAATGTAATAAAAAAAAAAGTTGCTTCATTTATTAATGATCTTACAAGTATTATAAAGAGAATTAATACAATGGACCACAAAACAACCCTGAGGTACCCCATTTGAAAGGTCAGTAATGTTTGATTAATATAAACTTTGAAGCCAGTTTGGACGGTAGAACATGAGGCGTTTTAAAGCCTCTGAAACAGCATCTCTCTTATGTAACTAAATATTTTGTCCTATTGATTGATTGTACTCAGAAATTTAAAATGCTGAGATAAAATATAGCCAAACTACAGATGAACCGAACTATGAGAATTGTGCTGCTGTTGTTCGGTGTATTGCTTTGCTCTATTAGTGACTGGCATATATCTTAGACCTTTTACCGTTGGGCATTCATTTAGCGTATTTCTTAGTTCATACCTTAGATCTTACTATCGTTTTTCTTTTACGATTTATTCTTTTGTTGGATGTAACTGGGACCGTGTGTACACAATTTTTGTTCCACCACATGTGATGCGAAAGGCAATAAAGAAACCTTTACCTTGACCTTGATCTTGACTTGACCTTGATGGACTGGAGACCTGTCCAGGGTGTCCCCCACCTCTCTCACAGTGACTGCTGGATATGGGCACCAGTGACCCTGAAACCCAAGAAGGAAGAAGCTGATAAAGACAATGCATGGATTGATGGACAATATTTGCTCCTAAAGAAATAATCAGTAAAACAGAAACATAAAGTAAATAGAGTTGAGGGGAAATTAACAAACCAAATAATCTCTTATGAGGAAAATAACCCTTCTGCAGGTTTAAATGTTACATAATTCACTTTTTAGTGTAAATGCATTTGTTACTGAGCTAACATCTTCTGACTTTAAACAAGAACGTCATAAACATGAAATAACTCTGTCAACGTTAGAAATTAAATGCTTGTCAAAAGAAAAACAGCAAGATGAAAACACAGATTAGGTATAACTTGGGTATGCTAAATTAGAGGTTATAGAAAAGAAGGTGCTTAAAGAAAGCCTTTGTTGGGAGTTACAGCAGTGAGAAGGTCAGAGGGTTCATAGCTTCCTCAGACTGTGAGCAAATCTAACGATGACAAACAACCTGCAGCTGTCTGCCATCTTCAGCACAACCAGTCTTTACAATCGTTTGCTTTTTGGAGCATTAATTGGTTGACATTTACTAAAAACTTCATAATAAATTTTAAGTTTTTTTAAGTGAGAAACGTTTTGTCCCCCATCCAGAGGATTTCCTCAGTCTATGGCCTGCCAACCAGCTGTGTTCTATATAGCCTTCAAAATGGCAACAATGGGATTGGAAACAATTAGGACTGGGCTTTGTTTGTGGGGATTAATAGCAGTCCTACAAGAACGAGCAAACATCTGTATGAGTAAGGTTAGTTATCAAAGTGAGGACTTGTAATATTTTCAGTCAGCTTTAGTGACCTGAATCTGATCAGGGCAGCCACCACAAACCAGTATGGTCTACAGGTCAGTAATTACTGGACTGATGTTTGCCCACTTGGACATAAAAGGATACAAGTTAGTGTGAGTTGTTTTATGCAGAAGCATTGCTGTAGTACATGTTCTACAGACCTCCACCAAAGGTGAATGTGGCACAATACTTTTTTTGCTCGTGTCTATGTGTGTCTGGCTGTTGGCAGAATATCTCGTCAGCTACAGGACTGGTTTTATTGAAACCCTCAGAAGTTGATCATGAGATGGAGACCGCGATTCATGCTCAATAATCCATGTAGAACAACTCAGGTATTCTGGACGATCTCTTTTTTTGTGTTGAGACGTTTGCCCTTCATCCAGAAGGCTTCATCAGTCAGAGGAAACACCAAACAAAATTGATACTCCCACAATAGCCAACTCCACAGTAGAAAAAAAACCAAACAGTTATGTTGGTGCCAAGATGGCCTCTGGGGCACGCCCTCTCCTCCAGTGCCCGCCCTCTCCCTCATCGACAGTCATGTCAAACTGGTTCAAAACGCCAAAGTTCATGCTCAATAAACCAGGTATAAAATCCAACAATGTTCAGTCAGGATTCAGCCTTCTGGATGGAGGGCGAAACATCTCAGCACAAAAATTTAAACCGTCCAGATGACCTGACTGAACATTGTTGGATTTTATGCTGCCTGGATTATTGAGCATGGACTTTGGGGTTTCTTGAAACATTATGTCTTGTATCCAAAAGACTTCTTCAGTCTGAGGAGCCGCAACAAACTCAGTCCTTCACGTAGGGGATCAACCAGTTTGGTGGTGGTCTGATGGTTTCTGGAGTCCACCCTCTCCCCTGCTGACTCACTTGAGGCAGTCCTGACTTAACTTTGTTGAATGAGATGGAGATTTAAAATAATTTGCTTTTGGGATGAAATTCAAGAAATCTTCAGCTAACTAACATTAACAAACATATAATGTCTATAACAATATCAGTTTTACAAATATTGAGCTAAAATGTGTCACGTTAGGTGAAAGTAATCCACAAACCTCACTTTTAGTAACATCTTGTGATATCACACAAGACCCCACAAAATGTCATATTAAAGTTTTGACCCAAAGAGAATAACTCCCTTCTCATCGTGACATCATGCTAATTTAACATTCTGGCATGAATGGCCGTGGGCAATATACACACCAAGAAACATTTTTATTTAATCCAACATTTTTCAGTCAGGTCATCTGGACAGTTTCTTTTTTTTTTGTGCTGAAACATTTCGCCTTCAATCCGAAAGGCTTCATCAGTCAAAGAAACACACAACAAAACTGATTCTTCCTCCAAGAGACCATCTTATCACAAGCAGAACTGGTTTGTTCCACTTTGGAGTAAGCTGTTGGAGGAAGAATCAGTTTTGTTGTGTGTTTCCTTGACTGATGAAGCCTTCTGGATCGAAGGCGAAACGTTTCAGCACAAAAAAAAAAAAAAAAAAGAAACTGTCCAGATGACCTGACTGAAAAATGTTGGACTTTATACCTGGATTATTGAGCACGGACTTTGTTATTTTTATTTAATATTTGAGACATATAACTTCTTGACTTGTGTAAAACAGTATTTTACATTGGATACTTTCAAGATGATGTTTTCAAAAATGATTCAGAGCCTAACTGGGGGATAAAAGTGATTCATTAGATTATTTTATCTTTACAGTTTCTTTGTTTATGGTCTCTTGAATAAAACAGTAAAAAGTGTATTCTTCCATACAGACATTGTCATTTTGAGAAAATAAAAAAACAGCAAATAACTAAAAGACCCAAATAACACATTTTTGGTTGGGCTGAATTGTGTTTTAAATAGTACAAAAAAAATACTTTGCACAATGGTTTGATACACATCCCCCCACCAGCTTCATGCTTAACTAATCAGATGTTATTAACTGTTCCCAACAGATTTAATCACATGTTGGTCAAAATTTGCATTTCATTTTACAACGTTTTTTGAAACGTTTAACCCACATAACACTTGATTCACCAGATATTCCTTCATAACGACGATGCTCAGACTGTTTTTGTTGATGCATGGATGCCCCCCTCCTGTCCAGATCCAGCAGCTGCAGCCAATCATCCTCTTCTTATTGTGCTCAGACTAAACACCACGCGCCCCGCAGCCTTTAAAGGGCCCTGCACCACCAACAAAGGAGACAAAAGTCCAAGAACACCCCCCTCTGAACTCTCCCCGAGTCACTTGAATGATGAGCATGAGACGCGCAGGTTCTGTTTGCAGGAGTCTCTTCGGCCCGGTGGACCACGACCAGCTGCGCGTGGACCTGGAGCTGAACCTGCAGGAGATCGCTGAGCAGGACAGCCGGCGCTGGAACTTCAACTTCCAGTCCGGGACGCCTCTGAGGGGCAGCTTCGAGTGGGAGGTGTTCACAGACCGCCAGGAATGCGCACAGCCGCAGAGCGCGTGCAGCTCTCCAAACACTGCAGAGAGGAGCAGAGAGGAGCGCGCGGTCGGCACCGACACCTGCTCCAGGAGCCCCGCTGAGGGGACCCCGGTCCGATTGAAGAGGTCCAAACCTGCAGCCGACCCACGGATTACAGGTAAACTCCTCGGGTCTGGTCCGAACAGATCCGTGATGAAAAGATGGCTGACGTGTTGTTGTGCTCCTGCTGCAGAGTTCTTCTCCAAGAGAAGGAGGTCCACAGAAACCAGGAGCGTCTGTCCTCAGCACACCCAGAAGCAGCTCAGTGCAAAACATTAGGATGAACTAAAAACGTCAAAGTGTCGCCCAGCCACAGACAGGCGGGCTGTTTGTTTGTTTGTTTGTTTGTTTGTTTTCTGTCTGTGCATCCTACCTGTCCCTCATGAACAACAAGTTGATTGAAAGTTGCAGAAAGTTCTCACTGGATGCACATTTGTACCTACATGTTTCATTCAGCTCATTTAAAAATGGCTGCCTCAACTAACGGCCCTTAAAAACACAGAAAGCCCACTAATCGTTTTTACAAATATTGACACAAGTGTAGCTGAGATTCATTTCCAACCTATACTTTAAGTATCTGCAGATTTTGTGTAAAAAAATGCAATCTGTTAGCAAAATACCCTTTAAACTACCACAAGTATTTTAATGAAACTTTCAGGAAATGATAATGTACCTTTACAATTGAATGACTTTTGTAGTAAACTATATTCAAGATGGCTGCCATAGCCAGCTGAATTTATAAAACGTATAAATGCCTTTGATGCAGTATATTTTACACATTTTGTGCTAAAATTGAGTGTTTTTGTACCCGAGAGTAATTTATAACAGATACAAGCTCTGCTTATTGCACAACATGTTTGTTTACAACTTTGATGGAGTTAGAAACGACTATACCTCAGTCAGTTTTACACATATTGTCTGTTTGTTAGCAAAATATATCATAAATCACTATTTCAGTGATACTTTCAGGAAGTACGTGCATCCGCAACTAAGTAACGAGAGTTACTCCTATACAAGACGGACACCGGTTTTGTTAGTCAAAAGTAATAGTCTATAAATCAATACATTTTAGTTATTTAGATCACATTTGATGTGGTAGTAGCTGAGAGTCATTCACAATGCATACTCTGAGCATGGAATGTTTTATTGTCACATAAGATTGTGCATGTTTTTTTAATTTATGCTTATTTTAACTTTATTTTATTTTTTATATTTATGTTTGGGTTGAATTCATGTAATGTTTTTGGAATATTTATTCTATTTAATATTAATTTAATTACAGAATGTTGTTTGCCTCGACGTTGTCCACACACTTGTTCAGTTTCTGCAGCACACTCGGCTGCATTTCTTAATCTGTTGTTATCAGTAAATTAAATGAAAAGCTTGTAAATTTCCCTGGTTATTGGAGTTTTAATAAAGCGTGTAATCACAGCAGATGCTTCAGATTTTCTGATAATTACATTTCCTTCTTGGGGAACGTTGGCTTGTAGTATTTTTTACACTCTGAACATTTCCCATAGCCCTGAGACACAAAACAATAATCCTCTTAATTTGTTTGCTGATACATTTTGCATCCATCGTATCTGTTCAATATGGTGCACAATAATTGCTTCTTCGTTTAATTACACAACAACATACATTTTAACTAAAAAGGGACATAACAGAAAATGACACCATTCTACAGTCAATAGTGCAGAACGTTTTCAAGGAAACTGAACATTAAAAAATGTATTTATAACCATTCATGCAATATGTTGCATGCGTTGCTCAATGATTAAAACCTCATAAGTAGAAAATTAAAAGGGACATTTGATGCTTGTTGTTGTTTGAAAATGCTTAAGTTCTTGGATGTATGCAGGTTTTATTATAAAATGCGTTGCAAACCAACAATTAAAGACAAATTTGTGCACATATTTATTTTTTTACACTTGGCACAATGCAGTCAGAAAAGTACTGTTCTCCTGACAACCACCAAACCCAGTCTCATCCATCAGATTGCCAGATGGAGAAGTGCGATTCGTCACTCCAGAGAACGCGCCTCCACTGCCCTAGAGTCCAGTGGTGGCGTGCTTTACACCACTGCATCCTCTTTGCACTGATATATATATAT